TATATATATATATATAAAGTGATCATGTAAAGCCATTATATTAAATTCTGAGTTTGAGCAATTTTGATGGCGGCACATAAAGGAAATAAGTTCTGTTATATAGTAGTTTCAATCTCAGATGATATAGCCCCAACTCGGCTGAATCAGAACCGATGCCTCGTAGCTTAGTAGTTCGCCCGTTTCATGATATGTAACAGGTTGGAGCTACTTGAGTTGCTCAACTCAATTGTACTTTAGCCGACCTATTTGACCTAAAGTTAGCTCGAAAACACACAAGTTGGTAGCTTAAGAGACTTATTGACCTTAGTAGCTCGACCTAGGTAGGAAGGATTGTGAATACTCTTTCTGATTTATATTACTTGTCGTTCTAGTTTGAAAGAACAAAATTACGTAATCAAAGGAATTAGTTATCTTATATTTGTATTAGATTTTTATAAATTTTCTAAATCTTATTTAAATACTTTTTTAATAGCTTTCTCTCTATCTTTTCATGTTGTTGGAATGAAATAGAAGAGTATTTGATAAAGATTCGTAACCAAAAAAAAAAAAGGAAAACTACAAACTGAACCGACAGATTTTTAAGATTTGATAGTTAGAAAATTAATTAGTTCATAGTTATCTAAACCGCAAATTAATAAATAAAATCAAAGACACACTTAAACGACATATATTGCAAAACGGAGGGAGTACAATGAACATGGGTAAGTGTAAAAACAACAGTATAAACAATCCAATAGTGTGAACTCAATCAGATAAGGATGGACTTCGGGCAGCCTTTGGGTAGCAAGTTTGTACCTCGAGCATCCATTGGGCACCAAAGTATTCACCCGTCTTAAGATAATAATTTATGTGATCCGTTAATATTCTAGATTCTATCTAACATCTTCTTTCTCTTTTCGATCACTGAATTGAGAGTCGGAATATCCACAATTCTTGTTTTGTAGGTTATCAACTTTATTTGGACTGTCAGATTATTATTGTCGCCAATTCAAGTAGATCCGAGTCGGACACATCACTATAGAACATTTTTATTATATTTTTACCAGCCAAAATTGTAAGAAAATGATTATTATTCACAAGACCGATATAGCATGATTAAGCTGAGTACGAATATGAATCGAGATTCGGTATACTATGGATGGGCTTTGCTTAAAGAATCTTCAATCATGAAAAACAAAGTAAAAGAAAGTGGGAGAGATACGCTTATTATTGGCCCTCATGAAAAGTGAAGTTCAAAGTAACACTATATAATATAACCGGTTTTATTATACCATTTGAAATGTTACATTATCGTGGATAGTTGATCTAACGGTTACAAATTCCGACATAATAGTTAAATAACGGATCGTAGAATCACCCTTTATTATATATATATAGTTAAATTAATTAAAATAGATTATACTATACTAACATGTTATTGCTTTTCTTCGTGAATGGATTTCATTATTTCAAAGTAAATGATGCCTGAAAATGCTTCACGCAATTTACCTAACAACACTAATTTATTTTCTTTTCGTTTATAGAACTTACTAGTGCGAATCCCGTGCGATGCACGGGGGTTTTTGTAACTTAGAATATTTTTTCAAAACTTTATTTTAATAATATATCCGTTTATATATTAACATAAATAATATTTCTAACACATATATTTATGTTTTAATACGAAAAAATTAAAAAAATTACATAAATACTCAAATATTAATTTATTCAAAAATTTAGTGTCGTATAATGTCATTATTATTTATAATACTTATAAATGTAATATTTTTTTGTATAATGATAAATAGTTAATGTAAAGTAATATTATTTATTGATGTAATTAATTTAAAAATATATAATCAAATTTAATGTTTGTAAGGAATCTGAGTATATGTAGGTTAAGATAAAATGTAATGTATCCAGAAAAATCCGAAAAAGGAGCAGCAGAGAGTGGCCCAATGCAAGGCAGCAGTCGAGGATTTCCTTTAAATGTTTTGAATGAAATTGATTTTCAAATTACATATCAACCACCAATTTTTCAAAGAATTTAAAAAAGTTAACAATTATAGTAAAATCTAAATTTTTAGTTGAGATTTTATTGTCTACTTAAATTAAATCTACTTAAATTTAATCTCTATTGCTATTTTATAGTAATAGATGACATAATTAATGAATAAAATATTTAATATATCATAGTTCCAAGTCAAATGAAGAAAAAAATTGCAAATTCATTTAATTAGTAAAACAATAGTTGATGAGATAATGAGAATGAAGATTTTTTTTTTTCGTTGGTATAAGTACAACTATTCATCAGAATCCCACAATTTTAAAGTCAGATGTATCACCGATTCAGTACGATTTGTAATTTGAAAAAATATTGATAATTGATGAGATGAAAATGGCCGAATATTTGTTTAAAGTTTTTTATGGAATTTCCCTCACTATACAAAAAAAGGCATTTAGATACGCCTGATCATTTGAAATATTATTTGATGGCAATTATAGAAATTAAGTTATAAGTGGTATTTTTGTTTTTTTTGTTTTTGTTTTTATTTTATGGAATACAATATATTCTAGAAATACATCACATGCAGCGCATCTATGCATGTAATTTGAAGCAGAATATTTCATACCAGATTTAAAATAAAAGGAGAATCTACCATCTCGTTGCGGGATGGTTCCGTTGCATTTTTTAACCGTAGATTATCTACACATTACTGGATTACATATATATCTACGACTACAAAAAACAACGAAACCATGCCGTAACGGGATGGTAAAATTTTCCTAAAATAAAATCAAACATAAAATAAAGTTGCAATGGATCCGATCTCTTCTTCAACTATGAATCCAATTCTAGCTACAACATAAGGACCAAGAAAACCAATGAGTTCAATTTAATTAAGCTTTAAGCAACATATTTTGTTCCCCCAAAACAAAAAGAAAATACAAGTCAAGCAATGGCACCAGGTGAAAAGTGTTCGGAACAAAATAAAGGAATTCTGGGGGCATAAACAATGTAACTTCATAAATAACAGTATTCCATAATATGTATGAGTTAGATAATCACAACACCATTGCTATAACCCAACTATATAAAATGAAAAACTTAACACAAAAGCTTATAAAATGTAATACTAACACAAAAGCAAAAATTTGGGCTATAACTATCAATGAGCTACGCAATATTAATGAACTCTCATGGCGCCGATTTTAGAGCAAAGGAAAGGAATGAAAACACCAAAAACAACAATTTCGACCAACCTTCTTTAGTAACAACCGCTCGGTATGCATGAAAACTATTGTGTTAGACGAATGATACATAATATTCTTAAATGGGTTTTTGTGTGCAAGAAGACAAAAGTAAAGTATTCTCCTTAACGACAATAGAGCTTAATAAAGGAATCTGCACCCGCCGTGAACAACCAAGATTGTCTCGGGTGGAACTTGAGATCCAAAACTCCTGCAAAAAGCACACGCACATAATTAATAATATGAGAGAAAAATTGCAAATCTATAACTATAAATAAAATAAATCTAATTCATAAAGACCAACATTGACACTTGCAGTATTATATATATACACACACACAATTAAAACCATACATATTATAGTTACCGGTCATATTTTCACTAACTAATTATAATTATTTAAATTACTCACACATCAGATGAAGCAGATGAAGCAAAGTATCTTCAGACAATAGACTTCCTATTTGCATTCACACTTAAATTTCGAGGCGCGGGTTACAAAAAATTACCTCGTCCATTAGCACTTGAATGCACTCGAAGGATCTCCAAAAAAACAATCAGAGGGTTCTGATTCATATCAGAATAGACCATGCCATGAAAATCATATGTCGAGCAATCATCTGAGCACAAGGACAATAAAGGATATGACCGATGGTAAACAAACCCAGTAATGTCCTTTGGATGACGTCTGAATATTTTGTAACAGCACACCAATTTGAAACAAAAAAAAAATAATAATAATAATAAACATCACTTGCAACAATCAATAATTTGTGGTAATTTGTGCTACAATTTCCATCATATTTACTAAAAAAAAAAGCTCAAACAGATTTAATGTTCTATCATTAGGCTCAACAAAGCACAATCATTAGCTATCTATTGTCTCCTAACATTCTTCCAGCTTGTTATCAGCCTCAAAGCTCTTTTCCAGCAAGTGCACCCGTGACATTAATGTCCAAACCACGTCACCACCAATCGAACAACAACCTCTATTGATGTAACTAACCATGAAAAACATAGTTCTATTTTTAAATCACAAGGACCTGATACCACAGATATGCTTGGGATTGTATCTTGAGGTATATTTGCAACTAATTATTTGTATAATGTCTCAATAGTTCAAGACACACTTATTAAGAAATGAATATGTATTCATTGTTATCAAACCGATTACGTCACGTTATTCTCGATTGCTGAAGTAATTTACATTCAACACGCATTGATCAAGCAAACACCATAATGGATCAGATTCCGACGTGTGACCTGGATTAGAACATATGTGTTCTGTTCAACAAAAGTTGTATTCATATTCAATGCCACGGTGAACCATATGTCGTTATCTTCAACTGCAAATTAAAAGAAGATGAACAATTAAAGGAGAAACCTGCTCAGGAGTGAGACAACGTTTCATTCCCGGCAACTACTCGTCGAAATCAACCATGCTGAAGAAAGGCCGCCTCCTTTTCTCCATGCCTAAACTAGAGCTAAAGATCTAAATATACGATTACGCACATAAAAATCGTGAAGCACATGTAATGTAAAAAAACTGTGAAAATAACACGCAGGGCAAAACGGGAATGAAGTTGAAAAATGACCGTCTATGGATACCTCGTAAACGTTAGTCGCCGCTGTTACTCCGGAAAAAACATGT